AAAATGTCACATGAAAAAGGGCTAAGCCGTTAGTTACTCAAATCGAAATACAACGCAATAAGGACAATTAAGTTCTAAACTATGATCTAGGAAAAAAAAGCAATACCATAGCCATAGAGGCATTTAGTTGAATTCACTTTACATAATCGTTTTCTTGTCGAAACAAAATATGAATAAATGCAATTTTGAAAAAGCCCAGTGAGGCATAGTGGCTAGCAATAATTGAAATGAAGCAAAGAAAAATATGAGTTGGCTTAATTAAATTATATTTTTGTATTTAACACATGCTAAATGTAGAAAGTATTTAGAAATGCTTACATGAAAATGTTTTAGTAAATCTTCGACGTTGCGAAATATCGACTTATCGAAGAAAACATGTTCATGCTGCCCAAGATCAATGATTCCCCACAGCTTAGCAACATGAAAAATTGTGCCTTGGCGACCAAAGAGGGTCTTGTCAGTTTCTTTGTTTGAACTTTTATCAGGAGATAGCAATCTTGCACGCAAACGCCTTGCTCTTGGGACCAAACGCACGAGGTAGTCTGCAGAATGAGTCGAAGAAGCCGATTCCCTGAAAGAATAATTCGATCCATTCGCCTTATCTTCTTCGTCCTGTATGACCAAATTTAATGAAGTTGGCAAAAGCTCAAAAAACCTGTCGTGCTTTAAGAGAAATTCATGCAATTCAACACGGGTCCATCCAATGGATTCTCTAATGTCTAAAGGTGCTTTGACCAGGCGCCTGAGAATAAAGCCAGGATGAGTCCCACGAGATCCCACACGAGCAAGAAAGCGTCTAAGCAGCATAACAGCATTATATTCCACTAGTGGGAGTATTATGCTGTCGGGTACCAAAGAATCACCCTCTGCCAGAGTGGTAACAGGGTTTCCAATGAATGAAACTTCGACTTGCGGTTGAGGAAGAGATGATTTAAACATTTTAGATTTGCACCTATCGACAAGGCTGCTATTGCTACAGACACTTTTTGTGTCATGAAATCTTGATTGTCTGTCGAAATATGTTCCTATACGTCTGCGCCTACTTCCATTGTAAAGATTTCTTCGATATAAGTTATGGTATGAAAAGGACTTCTCCGATTGAGCTGGACTTAAGCTACTGGAATAATTCCTCAATCCAACGAGTTCTCCTTGAATTTCAAAAATGTGGGAGTGCCGCCTAAGAAATGTTAAAAAATTAGCCTGCGATCCTACACACTGCCTTACAGAGGATGGTGCCTGTGATAAGTGCCCAGCAAGACTGCGTATAAGAACATAACGATCACCTCCTCTTCTAAGTAAGTGAAGTTGAAAGAATTTAGCTGCTTCGATTTCGGCAGAAAAACTGTATTCAGCTTGAATATAGGGATTAACGTCTGGTTGGTTAATAAAATTAGAAGTTGAAGTGAATGATGAAAGATCGGCAAAAGATTCCCGGAAACATTGAGGGTATGAGATAATACTTTGCATAAATTCGTGGTGGGCGTTCACGTCACCTGGGGTGGCCGGGGAAACGTACATATTTTCAACGTGGAACAACGAAGGAAAATGACGAAGAAACATAATAAGCTGCTCAAGTTCCTCGTCCAATGAAGAAGAGCGGAATATAAAATCAAAATTAACTCCACAATATCCCGTGATCTGAGTTGATTTCAAAGAAGCAAGAAGGATCTTTAAGGGTATAGGTGCATTTACATTCATAAGCAACTCAAAGAGATATAAAGCAATTGCATGCCCATTATCGCCCATTCTAAATTATCTATAACAATAAGAAAATATAAAAAGAAGATTACCAGAGGCCGAAGGGGAAGGCCAAAGGAAGAAATAATTTACATATGCCGAAGACCTATTTGATTAGTTAGCATTAATAGGACATCGTAAAGTGATTCAGTAAAACATACATACTGTTTAAACCCAAATAAAATAAACATTAGGCTACTTAGTATTTGATTTAAAATATTTTTTATTAGAGCATATGTTTATCGTTTAAAAATTATGTAATGTTATAATGGCAATTAAAAGCGTCATTTCAAAATTTAGTATCTTTATATCTATATTTTGCATCGCATTTGAAGTTACAACAGCATATTTTTCAAATATATATATATTTATCATAAAGGCTTTTAGAAGCTAGATATATGCTGATTAAAAAATGCATCAAAACCCGCCCTTTCTACGGGTCTCTTAAGGTTTGTTGAATGTTTTACTATCCGTTTTCAAATACATTATTAATCTAGCTTGATGTAATAAGTATCGCTTAAGGTGAACATATATAACCGTAGCTAATGCTAATAATACTTGGGCTATTTTCTTTATTCGAAGGTTTTTGGCATACGTATCTGGATTAGATGGAGGAAATGAGTGCACAGAATTGTGCGAATAAGTGAATGGTCTATATTAGAGGTTTTAAGAGAAAGAGATGTAGCACTAAAAGGTAAAAAAAATAAGTGCGATGAGTGATATCACAACAGTTGAACAGAAAATTTGTCACTTTGGTAAATTGTATTTCTGTGCCTACGGTGGCGCCTCTCACTGATGATGCCAACTGCGATGGGGGCGAAACGTTCGCGATTGTACCCAAACAATTGTTCAATACTAGAAATCACGATTACTATAGCAAAGGACACAGGACTAGGCACATTTCGCAAGGTCTCTCTGACGCTCTGACCAAGTAGAGAAAATAAAGTCGAGCCAACACTTTATAATTTATTGTTTTAAAGCCGTAAAGTTAAGTCTAGGAAAACACTTATAATATCAATTTTTGTATGATTAAGATCTACGCTTGAACAAGAATTCATCTTGGATATTAGACAAAATTTATATTTATATTTTTGTCCCAGTATTCATTAGGATACGTGTTATCTCTTTCTTGTTCTCCTGAGGTAGAAAATGTATTTTTTAACACATAAAAATATGTATTTTTCTATAATACCTAAATCATGCTTCTAATTTTGGGAAGGTAACATTAGCTTATAATTTTTATTTAATACATATTGGGCTTATTGGACGACTGCAATGTTCTCCAGACGAACTTGAATATTTGAGTGTAAATTGCTAATGCTAATATGCATATATTTAAATCTAGACACAAAAAAGCAAAAGGAATATTATCAACCATAACATTATTTGATGGCTTGACTTGTTAATTTAGGATCGACTCTATGCATTAAAGCTTCTCAATTATAATTCAATGTCCTACCTTGTGTCTAGACAGGCAGAGTACTGGTTTATTTTGCATCTCATCCGAGGTTGCAACGGCGTATTGTTTAAACATATGTATATTCATTATTAAGACTTTTAGAAGCTAGATAAATGCTGATGAAAAATGCATTAAAACCAGCCCTTTCTAAGGACCTCTTAAGGGTTTCTAAGGTATCATTTATTAAAAGTTTTACTATCCGTTTGCAAATACATTATTAATCTAGATTGATTTAATAAATATCGCTTAAAGTGAACATATATAACCGTAGCTAATGCTATTATTACGTGGGATATTTGAAGGTATCTGGCATAACAAAGCATACTTATCTTAATTAGATGCTATCTATGATCGTATCAATTTTAACTAAACACCAAATACATGTCACTAAATCCATTTTTCTCCCTGGATAAAAAGTATACTTTGATGTATCCATCAATTAAAAATAATTAAGCTCAAGTATATTTCGATTATTTATATTAGGTTACTTAAAATTAGTAGGTTCATCTGATCGTCCTTAGGTTGGCGAGCTCTTTTACCTTATTCCTTAAGAATATTTGAATGCCTAGTGCCCGTCGATGCTTCTGGGTTCGTCAATCAGAAATAGCTAAACATAGGGAAAACTAGGCAAATTAATTACTTTGCTACTGAGCACAAAATTGCTAATGAGGCCATTGAAATCAGCAGATTGAAAAAAGCATTTAGCACCAAGTGTGCCTACCAGAAATTTAAAAAGAACTATTTAAGCTCTGATACGAACTCTGGAAGAACATCTAGAGATAAAACAAAGAATAAGGCTGAGAGTTGCTTCCATTAATAGACTTATTAATCTACGCATGATTACCACGTATTTTACTTTTGAAGGTGAGTTATACGAACAAACGCAAGGATGGGCGATGGAATCTTGCCTGTATTCCATCTTAGCGAACAATTATATGGCAAAATTGGAGGAATACTTCCTGCAAGAGGCAATACTAACACCTAAATTGTTGGTTAGATACATGGATGACTATTTCGTCATCTG